GCAGTAGCCAAGAACAAAGGCTATTTGCTTAATAGAACAAAATCATGAGATCAAGGAAATACATTAGTAGTAAGGACTCTATTCCCATGATCCATAGGCCAAGTTAGCCAGTTCACCTTAACTTCTCCTAATCCTTTGGAATAGAGGATTGTGAAGCCAATTTCTCCCCAAGCCCATGGGACACTGAAAATGAAAATGTTGGGATGATAACCTTCTAATCACCACAGGAGCATCGAGTTTTCAAGATTAGGAAGCCATAATCACCTGACCACAAACTTGAATCAACTCAGAAACATGGCTTCTGTGGGGAAGTGTGATCTGCCTAGGGTCTGTTAAAGTATGAATGACATTGAGCCCTTAGTCCAACATAGGGTACAAAATTGTGGCCAAAATTGTGGCCAAAATTGTGCTACCTCAACATATGTTTTCCAGAGGAAAGGTAGACTCCCCTAATTGGTAGAAAGCTAACCTCTTTCCCTTGGATGTTATCTTCCTTACATTTTTCTGATCTAAGAAGTGGTCTCTGTTACTTTCTCCCAGATTCCAAATGAAGCTTTCCTGGAAGAGAGAGATGAATGTCCTAGGAAAGGCTATGAGGGCAGGGTGACATTTGTCATGGTAAGAAGGGAAGAGTATGGGTAACAACCACACTCCTGGAAGGATGTTGCATAGCATGTGGATTTGCATGGCTATGACTGACATCGGTTCTCTCTTTATTCCAATTTCTTTTCTGTTTCTGTTTTTAAAAAAACAAACCATAAAACTCTTGCTGCTATGTACCTATGCATATCCCCTCCCCTCCATGAAAGTCATATCACAATGATCTATGGGATCATTGAAACCCTTACATTAATATTAAAGTCCATGATTTTTTCCTCCTCTTTTCTAGGTATTTTGAAAAGTAATTAAGAAATGCTCTACATATTATCCAGTGTAAACTTCCTCTGCCTTCCTTCTCTCTTTGGTCTTCTCATCTTTTTTTTTCTTTAGTGCCATTTTCAACTTCCTCATGAGAGACTGTGATGCCTAGTCCATGGCTCCACTGTCACTGAAGAGGAAAATAGTTTCTTATATGTATCCTGACATAATTTTTCTATTTTTTTCATGTTTGTTGTATGAATTTCATTCTTGAATGCTCTTGGGATAATGTTTCTTAATTTATTCTCATCAAGCTGTATGTAAACTTTTTCTCTTTACTTCCATTTGCTGCTTTATAATGTGGTATTGGTCATAATCTTCCACCATACTTCTCCATAAGATTTTACAAATGCATTTACAATATAAACTGATGTTACCTTTAGCTTTCATATCTCTGTGCTTGGTGAGGAGATAAAGTTCTTAAGGGGATTTCTAGTCTCCTTTGTTGTTCTCATTGTGACAACTGATTTACACAAATTAAGCATTCTTAAAAATGGTGGTAGTCTGTATTGATCTGTTTTCTTTTATTTACTCTTAAATTTTAGGCATCAGTAGCTTATTTAAACTGCTTTGGAAATGACTCCCCAGTAATCAGTCATTTACTATCTGTTAAATTATAATAAATTTAATTTTTGGTGTTATTTGGTGCTCACTATATACCAAGCCTCCAAGTCTCTTCTTGAAATATCCATGATACACAGGCATAGACCTTTTGTTTAGTCTATAAGTCTTTGACTTCTCTTACTCCTGAAGCATGTTTTCTAATGTATTTTTCATCATCGAACTTAACTCCCGCCTTTGCATTTAAGTCACCAAGTAGTAAGGAATACTTTGATGTGCTAGCTACATTGCCCATGGCAAGTCACTTATCTGCCCAAGTTTCTTCATCTGTAAAATGGAGATAATAACACGGTTGTTGTGAGGATATAGTATGAAAACATATGTAAAGCATTTTGTAAACCTTAAGACACCATATAAATGTTTCTTTCTTTCTTTCTTTCTTTCTTTCTTTCTTTCTTTCTTTCTTTCTCTTCTTCTTCTCCTTCTCCTTCTTCTTCTTCTTCCCTACAAAATTCTTTACAGAATATCTCTCCCCACTCATACTTTGCAATAAATATTGGCAATCACCAACAACATCAATAAATAAACATTTGTTAATGGATTTAATTATCTTCTTGGTGTTTTTGGCAAATGATTTAGCATAAACCCTATAATATGAGATGACCAAGTGCCCTATGAAATGATGTTTCTTGTTGCCTTTGGATTCTGGATAAAGTTAACTCCGTTATTTACTATTCCAAGTGGAACCTGTGAGCCATCCTTTCATTGAATGTAACTTCCTTTTATTTTCTGCTTTTATTTATAGTAGGTTTCATTTATAGCTTGCAGAAAGGTCAAGATTGATGATTCACATCCTCCAGTCATTGGTCACTGGACAAGGATCGCACATTTAGAGAACCAACACTAAAATATTATTTATAGATGGCTTAAAAACTGTGATTCTTACTTAGTACCCTTTACCTTCTCCCTTGCATTTCTCCCCTTCTCTTCAGTCATAGGGCTGACACCATCAGGGAAGGATGAAGGAAAATTAAAATGTATAAATGTTAGCTAATATTATTATTGTTCTTTGATACCTTTATGCTGTAATGAGTTCTAATTAACCTGCCTTAAAGACTGCATGAGAGGAAGTGTGGTATAGTGGATAGAGATCCAGCCTAGGAGTCAGGAACCTGGGTGCAAGCACTTTTCTTATCATAAAGTGATTATGACCTTGGGCAAGTCATTTAACCTCTCAATACTCAGACAATTCTCTAAGACTGTAAGTTGTAGAACATTGGCTGATCTGTGCTGTTAGAGGGAGTTTTCTTTTTGGGGGCTCATAATCATGCCTCAGCACTGGTATCTTCACCCCTATCTTTTTGGCTCCCTTTTACGTGTTATCTTTCCCTATTAGAATGAAATTTATTTGAGGACAGGGTCTGGATTTTTGTTCATTTGTTTGTTTTTTGCTTGTATTTGTATTCCCAGCACTTAGTACAATACTTTGAACACAAATGCTTAATAAATGCTTGTTGTTGATATTGTTCTGGGAGAAATCATAGGTTTGGGATAGAAAAAAAAAGGATTTGATGAATCTTTGAAAAATACATTCACCATCTTTGAATGAGAGATTCCATTACTGGGTTTATATGCCAACAAAGTCATATATAAGACACAACAAAATATTTATAGCAGCAATTTTTGTGATAGCAAAGAGTTGGAAACAAAAAATAGATGCCTAACAATTGAGGAATAGGTCAACAAACTGTGGCACATGAATGTAAAGGAGTATTGCCATTTTGTAAGAAATGAAGTATATGAGGAATACAGAGAAGTATGGAAAAATCTATATGAACTGATGTGCAGTGAAATAAAACCAAGACCTAAGAAAATAATATTCACAATAACCACAACGATGTAACAACCACACACATACACATACAAAATGAATGTAATGAAATTATGAAGATCAAGAATGACTCAAATGAAGGGCTATGAGAAGACATCCCTAACCCAACCTTTTGTAGAGGTGGGAGGTCCACATATGTTTTATATTTTAAACATAATTTCAGGCTTTTCAATGTATTGATCAATTAAGCTGATCTTCCCTCTTCTTTTTCTTTTTTCTGTTTAAAAATATTCTTTTTATATGGTATGACTTGCTAGGAGGGGGATAGGAAGGTTACTGAGGAAAACTATGATTATGTAAAAAACAGAAGACCTTAATAAAAACTTTTTTTAAAAAGTAAATAAAGCAACTACTGATAGTTAAAATTCACCAAAAAAGCAAACCTCAATGCCAATTCTAACTTTCTACTTTGTATTAGTTATTTGAGTACAAGACCTTTGGGGAAAAAAAAAGATCACATACCCCCACTTACTTCTGGATCTTCCATAGAGGTTAGCCGGGTACTTTTTGTATTAAAAAATACTTATGGAATTGAATTGACCTGGCAACATTGGGAAGCTCCTCCTACTTTCAGTTATCTATTTAAATGCTGATGCGAAGGAGAAGACCACAAGGAGACTCCATGATGTCCCAGCACTACCAGGAAAAATGGCAGTTTATATTCTCCTACCCAGTTCAAAGAAAAATTTCAGAGAATGACTTGAAGCTTTCAGGTTTTTGAATAGTTCTAAGAATACTCTCTGGACATAGAATTCAAAGCCTTGATGTTCATACTCATGACACATGCTTACAGGCTGGCCAGCCTGTATACTTTAATAATATTTTTCTGCTCTTCAGGTATTGGCTAATTCTCATACTCACACAGCTCACCAATCAGCCTAATCTAAAATTTTCTGATGGCAGACAAGACTAATTTTCTCCTTTTTTGCAGGGGATGAAGTATCCTTCAAGTATGGAAGACAAACATCTTTACCAACAGAGAAAAGAGACTAGCGTAAAGAGGTTATTTCTTAGAAATTGTGATTTTAAAAACCCCAACCAAAACAAAAACTCCTTAGGAAGAGCCATTAAACAAACAAATTCTATCTCTAAGCATTAATTTCATAATATTATTGTGGTAAGATATCAGTAGTTTCCCATGAGAAAGAAATTCTTTTGGATCAGGAGTTCTTAACCTTTTTTTGTTTCATGGACCACTTTGGTAGTCTAGTGAAGCCTATGGATCTTTCTCAGAAGAAGTTTTAAAAAATCGTAATTGAAGGAAATGTTAAATTTTATTTAGAGGCTAGTAAAAATAAAGATGTAATTTTTTCCCTATCCAAATTCCTGGATCCTGTGAAGTCTATTCATGTACTCTGGGTTAAGAACTCCTGTTTTAGAATTTTCCCTCATTTGGGATGAAGACAATCAGCTATATGGCCCAAGAAAAAAAGCCAGAGAACCAGGGCTTTCTTGGTTGACTAGCAGGTTTTAGGGGGGAGTATGGTAAATACAAGGACTTTTTTTTAGTTTTTCCTTTAAATTAGAAGTCTGACATCCAGAATTCCCTTGAAAAATGAAAGTAAACAGGAAGAACACTGGGATATCTAACAGACTAGCAAAAGAAGTCAATGAGAATAGTGGTACTTACATTTCCGAACACAGTGAGATGGTATTGGAGCTAGACTGTTGCGCACAAAAGGAATATCCCTCACTTTGGTTCTGTCGAGGGGAAAGTGCTGAAAACTTTGCCCTGTGGACAAGTATAATCACATAATTCGGTTGAGAACAAAATGCTCATGATCTTATTGAGTGGGGAGTGAAATCAGAAAGGTTGTTAGGGGTTAGGAACTTTGAAGAATCAAAAAAAAAAAACAAGAGGAAAGCTTACTTGGAATGATTTCTTAAATAAATTGTATCTACCTGAATATTTACTTAAAAGTATATTAAAATCATAGAACCTTCGAGTTGGAATTGTCCCAACCCATACCTCCTCCAGAAGGTCACTAACAGAAGTCATTCAGGCTCTACTTGAACATCTCTGGTGATTGGGTGCTTCGTCCCAAATAAGCCATTTTGGGATGGGTAGGTCTAATTGTTATGAAGTTCTTCCTCATACTGAGTTAACATCTGCTTTCCTGGTAACATCTGTTCACAGGTTATAGATCTGTTTTGGGCAAAATAGGGCTAGCCCTTCTTTCACACAATAATTCTTTTAATATTTGAAGTTAGTGGTCATGCTCCTTTCCCCCAAGTCTTCTCCCTTCCAGACTAAAAGTTCCCACATTCTTTCAACTGAGCTTCATATGATATGCTTTTATAACTACATGATTTCAGAGTCTAACACTTTGCATGGTGCCTGGCACATAGTAGGTGCTTAACAAGGACTCATTAACTGTGTCAGAAGGTACCTACAAAGTCATCTAGTCCAACCTATGCCAGAACAAGAATGCCCCCCTACAACATCCTTGGCAAGTGGTTAGCTTACACATGCTTGAAAATCTCCAATGGAGAGAGAAACCCATTACTTCCCCTCTCAACTTTTCCAAGGTAGTCCATTCCACTTTTGGATGAGTCAGTCAGCGTTGAATAGTGGATAGAAAGTCAGCCTCAAAGCGAAGATGACCTGAGTTCAAGTCCTGCTTCTGATACATATTGGCTATGGGTTCCTGGGCAAGTCCCTTAATCTCTCAGTGCTCTAAGTAACTCTCTAAGACTATTAATTGCTAAGGAGGTGCTAACCTATATTGAGAGATGGAATTTCCTTACCTGAGTTCCCTATATCAATGAAATCAGAGGTTGAATCCCTATTCTTTATGATTATTAGCAGGTTTCTACCCATTCCTAGCATTGCCCTCTGGATCTGAAAATATAGCTAATCCCACTTCTGCATGTCATCTCTTCAGACATCTGAAGCTATTTTTCATTTCCCTAGCCCCCAACTTTTCTCTTTTCCAGGTGAAAAATTCCCAGTTTCTTCAACTTATCTTGACATGGCATGTCCTCCAGTCATCTCACCATTCTAATTGCTCCTGAATATTTTTCCTAAAAGAGCCATAGAGCCAAATAAGTATTTCCAATGTGGCCTGACCTGGGCAGAGCTCAGATAACCCTCAGAAGGGTTATCTCCTTTCTTTTACTCTGGACACTATTCAGTCCTCTATTAATTCAAGCTAAGGTCACTTTTGCCATTTCACAAGTACTATTGAGTTACATTGAGCTTGTAGCCCACAAAACCCCCCAGGATCCTTCTCACATGAGCTGCTTTCTAGGTATGCTTCCCCCATTTTTGTATAGTTCTTTTTTTAATTCAAGTATTAGGCTACATTTATCCCTGTTCAATTTCCTGTTATCAGATTTGGGTTATGGTCCTAGCCTGCTGAGGACTCTTCAGATACTAAGCCTATCATGTAATGCATTAGTTATATCTTCCAACTTTGTGTCCTGTGTGCATTTGAGCAGCATGTAAACTATACTTTAATCCAAACAATTAATAAAAATGTTGAACAACTCAGGACCTAGGACAAATCTGTCCGGTACAACACTAGAGACTTCTTCCAAGTTGACATGGACCTGTTAATCATTATTCTTTGGGTACATTCTTTGGATCATAACCAGAATCCGCTTTGTTTCTATTACTTAGCTTACATGCTCCAGCTTATCCAGAGGGATAGTATGAAAGAGCTTTTAAAAAGCTTTGCTGAAACCCAGGTTGGATCCTAGGATAATAGATTCAGGGTTGGAAGGGACCATAGAAACTCTCTAGTCCAATCTACTCACTTAAGAGATGTTTTACTAGGCCTCTGATATCTGGAGCTACCTACTAGTCTAGTAACTCTGTCAAAAAGGAAAATAAAGTCAAGCCTATTTATTTAGAGTTTTATTCTTTCTCTTTTAGAAAAATTAGGATGCCATTTTCTTGTCTCCATTTATTAGGCACTTAATCTGTCCGCCATGATTTTTTCAGTATGCTAGGCCTGGGCCTGGTAACTTGAATCTGTTGAGGCCAACTAGGTTCACTCTTACTATCACTTCACTTATGGGTGGGTTTCAGTCTCTGTTAACCTTTTTTACTTTTATTTTTTTGGTCTAACCTTCCAAATTCCCAAATCAATCTCCTTGGCAATGAAACAAAAGCAGAACAGAAATTCATTAGATTTGTTTTTTTTTTCTCTCTCTCTCATCATCCCATCTGCTGAGCATTCTTTTTTTTCTCCTTTCTGTTGTCATTTTATTGTGTCAGCATGTATGGGATGGGGGTGGGGGGAAGGGGACAGTGGGATATTTTTGGTCATAGGAACTTATGCTAGTGTTTTAGCACCATAGATTTTAGAGTTGGAAAGGTTCACATAAAATCATGGTATCACAGACTATGAGCTGAAAAAGACCTTAAAAGACATAAAATCCAACCCTCTTATCTTATATGAGAAATCCAAGACCCATGAAGGGCAAGTGATTTGCCCAAAATTGCATATGTACATTGCATCAGAGCTAGCTTTTGAATTCTGGTCCTCTGACTCTTTCCCCTGTACCATAATAGTCACAGCTTTGTTCCCTTTCCCACCTGTGTGATCTTGGGTCAAGTCTTTGAGCTTCAATTTCTTTATTTATAAAATAAAGTCCTGAAGGGAGACAATTTCTAAATCAATGATTAATAATAATAGCCCACATTTACATAGTGATTTAAGGCTCACCAGATATTTTTCTCACAACTTCCTTAAGGGATAGGGAGTGCAGTTTTACATATATGGAAACTGAGGCCTAAAGAGTTGAACTGATGTGCTTATGTTCACACAGCTATCAGACTGGCATTTGAACTCAGGTCTTTTGATTACAATGTACTTTTTCTATCTCATCTCTTCGCTCATGATTGATTTGTTGCCTATGGTCTGTTGAGAAATGCTACAGTGACATGCTGGACAACTCCTTACTTACAGAGGAACATCAAACATTCAAACTAGTGCCATGGAGTTGTTTGTGTCTACTCAAATACCCTCATTGTTGTGCTAGAGAAGTAAATGTGCTCATAGCACAGTGGAAAGAGCCATGGTTCTAGTGTCAGAGGAACACGAATCAACTCTTTCTATGACCTTTATTACTTATATGATTTTTTGCAAGCCACTTAATCTTCCTCAGCCTGTTTCCTAATTAACCAAATTAGAAGGTTGGATTAGTTGGCCTCTGAAGTGCCCTCTAGCTCTTACGTCTATGATCACATGCCTCATGCTTTCCCTAGACTCTCTACTCATAGATTAGTATCTCTCCCTCCTATGTTCTATCCCTGTTGGTTCTTGTTAAATGAAAACAAGTTTCCTTTCTCTTTTTTTCTTTTTCTTTCCTTCTTTCTTCCTTTCTTTCTTTCTTTCTTTCTTTCTTTCTTTCTTTCTTTCTTTCTTTCTTTCTTTCTTTCTTTCTTTCTTTCTT